TACTATTTGCTAAAACCGAATTCTTCTCAAGGAAACCGACAACGGTCAATTTCATTGAGTCGAGGTATTTTGTCGATTGATGGCCGTTATTATATTTAAGAATTTATCTTATCGCGTGTTCACAAAACGAAGAAATCGTGGAGTCCACCGGACGTAACAAAAGTATAAAATATCTTTTAAACAATTGAATTTTTGATAGCTTTACCTTAATACTTTCATGCAGAATAATTAAAGGAATTATACTATGTAAAAACATTATATAATTCGACATAAAAAAAATGGCGGTAAACTTTATATGACCTTGATAAATTGATTTTCTTTGAAAATTATTTTTACCACTATTTGTCCCCCTTTAAACAGTATAATTTTTATCTGAAACATTTTTCCGCATCTTTTATATTTTTCGAGATATTTTAATGCAAAACTTACAATGGTGTATACATAACTTAAGATAACTTGCAGATTCTCAATTCCTGATGAGAATTTAAAGGATAAGGTAAGCGTAGGTAATATCGAAACATATTTTTATAAAAACAAAAAGAAACTCGTAGACATGGTTCAACAAAGTGATAAAAACAATCGTTGCTTTTTTCTGTTTAAAATGTGAAAAAAAAAATTTCCTGTCTGCTAGGATAACAATTTTAACAACAATTTTTGGATTCAGCAAGTGAAATTGAGTAAGATAAAAGATAAAAGATAAAAGATAAAAGATAAAAGATAAAAGAAAAACCCTACGTTCCCCGCTTCATGCTTTCCAAATCGCCTAAAATGCACATACCATATGTTTCCCTCATGTAAAGCGGTTTATAGCTTTTTTTGTTATATCTCAAAAACTATTCAAGATATTAAAAAATGTTTTATACAAAAGTTTTACTTTAATAAAATTATCTCTATTTATTCAATAATACTTTAAGAAAATAATTTAAAAATATATTTGAAAATTTAAAAAATTATTATTTTTTAGAAATATTATTGGTGCAAAGAATTGAAGTAATTTTGTTGTAAACTTTTGTAATAAAACTTTTGTAATAAAACATTTTTTTTAATATCTTGAATAGTTTTTGAACTGTAATGAATCAATCTTTCGATATCGAAATAATTTCTTGTGCACATAAGTAAATATAGTGTTATTGAAAATTTCTTGTTTCCAAGAGAAAAGTTTTAACTTTGTTAGAGAAAAAAGGCCGTAGCCGGATAAGGAGGGGTGATCTGCCCCCGCGCCGATCATGACCATTTTTTACAGTTTAGTTGCTATTCATATCAGTTACAATTTTACCAAACATTAGTCCTTAATATTCAACCGTTGGGGTGTGAGAAATAAAAATCAAAATTTCAAAAAAAATGTATATCTTTTAAACGGCTCAATCAATTTTTATAAAAAAATATATGTTGTAGATGTAAACAAGATACATTTGTAAAAAAATTTCGAAAATTTTTTGAGGCCAGAAACATTGCAAAAAAAAATAAAATATTTTTATTTATTTTGTTTAGCTATCTTATCGGTCTTGTACTACCACAAAAATTTTACCGTAAAACTAGATCGGAAGAGCACA